GACTACGCCATGCTGTCTCTCGGAACTCGTGCAGCGCGTACTTACATCAACGTTTAATCATGTACTTTTAGCTTTCCCCGGTCCCGGACTACCCAAGGTTTTCAAGTACATAAAAACACCTCGGGTTTTCTACCCGTTTCTGCCTTTCTGTCCATTGATACTCGTTCTGTCTATACCATGTATTTTTGTAACCCAATACGCAACCCATACGCGCCAACTGGCATAGAACATTGCCTAAGCAACTTCACCCTGGCGGCGTTAACCTAAGTGCCCTTATAATTGCTGAGTCAGATTGCACCCGCTTTACAGGTTCAATTCCGTCGTATGGTCCGAGTGTTCTTAAGAAAGGTCACGTTCTCCGCGAGTTCTTATCCGCAGTTGTTGCTTTCCCTCATGTATGACTTGTACAACAGTGCGAACGATGAGCAGTGTTCACATATTCAATCTGCTTGATCTACCGCAAGAAATAATCCTTCATATTCGTAAGTCACCGTAATACTATAGCTCCCTTGATAAGTTAACCGGTACATCAATCATAGTGTCATTTCTGGATCTGCCCGACCTCGCAACTCTCTCCAAACTCCATGAATATCTCGCTCTTTTGACAGCTGACCCAGTGCTGCATCTCATACGACTCCGAGTAGTCGCACCATCACGCGTCGGCCACTCCCTATTTGCGCGAAGCCCTCACGGTACCTTGCTCAGACCAACCATGACGGACCTCGTGCATAGGTATGTCATCCGCGGACACAACATCGAAAGAAGATTGCGCATGGGCTTGTATATCTACACAGAACACGTAAGGAAGCGTCTAGACTCTGCTCGGTGACGCTGATAACTACGTGTAGTCTGTGGATCAGTACGACATCGGTCTGAGACTACAACGCGAACGTACTGCTCATATCATTGCTTCTCATCTTCGGAGACGTGCGCCTGCACCTGTTGGCCTCAAGTTATTGTATCACTCTGGTATTCTACCTGACGTCGAATCGTCATTGCTCTCAATTTCGCGGTCTTTGTTACCTGTGGTCAGAAAGCTCAAGTGGTCCATTCAGCGAGACAAACTGGCCAACGAGGTGCGAGGATTGAGTGGTGCCCTTGGATCGGGGAACTCAGCACTTCCGTTGACCGGAAGCTTGGCTGCTTGGATTGAGCTGAAAGGGCAAGGTGTTGTACAGGACTGTGAACGGGTACGCCTTGCGCTATGCCCGGATGTGCGTAGGATGGTGAAGTTTTATGAGAGCTTGGGACACTGAACTTGATTTGTTATCTTATGTTCTTTACTTCATGTTACCATAGACAGTGTGTATTAGGCATGGTTGAATTTAACAGTATTATGTATGCATAGCGCAGCAAAACTCTTGTCTCAACACGTCCTTCCGTCTAACTGTGACTGCTCTATGCCCGAGGTGCGTCCCCTGTTGTTGAATTCCACGCACTGCCTGGGGGTACCTCCCAGTCTCCATGACATCCCCACGCCCAGTCTGTCTTCTGGATTGTCTCCTGCTGAGCTTCAATGAACGCAGGGAGTGGGCACATTCCGTTGTCATCATACGGACAGGTGCGAATCCCATGGAGAGGGACAACACCATCGTTGATGATGATTCGGATCTGGGGTTCCGGGGTAGATGCGCAGGAGAGGACTGAAAGGTAGGTACGGAGTCGTAGGAGCATCATGGAAGAGAACAAAACGTAGCTTAGCGAATCTCCAAGAAAAAAGAAATCACAAGTGGCTCACGCTGGAACTGCACATTAGTCGCGAAAGGTGCGAGATCTGCGGAACGGAATGAACGGTCTTCAGGGATATGGTCAGCAGGGAGAGGACCGCTTGCTGCGAGCGTGCTTAAGTTGAGCGCTGTTATAACTGCATGCCGGTAATCGATCAGCCATCAATGCGGGCAAGTACAATACTGCATGGTACGATATACAAGATCACATACCATTGAGGACAACAACTTCATGTGTAGCATCTACATAGAGAGCATGATCTAGCGGGAAAGTCTCAGGCGTGTGAAGTGTGGCGTTAGTGCTACTGTTGTGGGTCGCGATTGGGGTATGGGTAAGTCGCGCGACAAGCTCTTGAAGGTAGCCGACACCCTGGACGCGAGCAACAGGTGAACCGAAAGCAGAGTCATACCTACGAGGTTGGGGCACATCACAGTCCGAGCAGTCGGAGAAAGAACACGATTAGCAAAAAACCTACAGACACAAGCGCATGTGCTGACCAGAATGTCAAATCAAGCCTATAATAACACAGAGGTGACGGTTAGTATGTGATACCACAGCAGACAAAAAAGGGAAACACGACATACGAATAATTGAATCCCTCCCACTCTTCTTCCGTGAAGAGATCACAGAATTTGGAGTAACCGAGGGCAACAGTCTATCAATAAAACAGTCAACCACAACAGAAAGGATGTTCCACCACAAGTGAGCGTACCTCATAGGCACACATTTGCATCATTTCGTACACTTCCTCTCCAGTCCAATCGAACTCACCCTGCAGACCATCCTTTCCGATCATCGCCCTTGACAGTCGTTCCCGGGCTTCGGCCAAGAAGTGGGAAACCCATTCTTTGACGTAAGGCAGTGAGCGGCTCGATTTACTCGGGGCCCTGGCATTCGGGCAGGTCTCGTAGGGGGCGAACGTGTTGTTAAACTGACAAAGTATACCACAATGAGTACTACGTCGGTTAACGAGGTGCAATGGGAAGAAGTGCAATAGGAAGAGAAAGAACTAGATAAGAAGGGATACCGGAAGAGGACAAAGGAAATTCAAATTGTTAACAGCACGAGGTAACGAGAAATAGAACAAGATACAAGAAATCGACTCACTCCGTCGGCTTCGATCGTAATCGACTGTTGATACTGCCCCTCAAAGGGGTAGCCGAAGAATCCAATGGCAAAATTGAGTGCCGAAGCAAGCATACGGTCCCTGCAGGATTAACCGTTTAGCTTACGATTGGAAAGATGGAAAATGCAGGGTGAAAGAATTAACAGAATCGAGTAAAGAAAATAGGTAGTGTCATGGTACATGACCTGATAAAGTAAATTACATCACTTACTGAGACTCTGTCCGGAATACAGGAATCGTATTTGTCTCCGTAAAGTTCTAGCATTTCTTCGTTATCATACGATTTTGGTAGCACGGGGAAAGCAGACAGACCTTGAGTAAGAAGCCGTACTTGAGACGCATAGATACGCCAAGGTCAACTATATGTCCACGATGAGAGCCTTTCAGGAGATGAGAAGATGGACACACATAGTTGTTGTCGGCCAAAGGGAGTAAGCACTGATTGAAGAGTGAACATCGCATATTACTGTACTTATGAAGCTCATACCTTCCTCGCCTAGCTTGTAAGTCCTATGCACAGGCCTTTATGAGATACAAGTCGAGAGAATAGAGCAGGACACCTTACCATTCGTTCAAGAATGCTAGTTTCCCAGTCGCCTCCCATTGCGATGCACTCTCGTGTAGACGGGCAGCAAACTTGGCAGGACCGCCGTAATTCGCTGTTGACAGTAGTACGTTACTATCAGTATTGTAAAGGAAAGGGAGCACGCACCCCACGCGGTCGGATAACGGGCACCGTGACGGTGAAGTAAATGGAGGCCAGTGACAACACATCCAGCAGGGGGCTCTGCTGTGTCATTAATGCCGAATGCTCCACGGGGAACGCTGTACCACGGAGAAAGGTTGCCCCAGCTTCGGAAAAGGTTAAAAGGACGGTCGGATATATAGTGTTCGGGGGATTCTTCCTCTTCTTCTTTCACATCGTCACCATGCGTAGAGTGGATGTGCTCGTAGATCTTTGGAGGTGCGACAAGTTGGGCTGCGCCAGTATGCAAAGGGAGGTAGGGCGCAGTTGCGATGAGGCCGGGCTCTGCGCCAGTAGGAGTAGCACCTGGATACCCAACACTGCAGGTTAAGTCAGTTTTGTTCAACTAGCTTGAATGAAGCGCACCTTGTGGGGAAGAGGTCAGGGAAAGCATTGGTAGGGGCTACAGGCGGGAATTGGTGCACTTCCGAAGAACCAACGTACGGGGGTGCTTGCACCCTCACGTCGTTTCCCAGTGGAGGTGGTCCAGCAATACCTGAGACGTCGAGCAGGAGGCGTGCACCGATACATAAAGCGGCACCTCCGACGAAAGCATACACAAGGTGCACAAGGCTGTACCGTGGCGTACTGATAGTACTAGTTGTGGGTGAGTATGATTCTGTAGGCAGGAGTAATTCGCGTTCTGGCTCAACAAGTACGTCGTCGTATGCGCCGTATTTTGCTTTTGAGCCAGCCTCAACGTCCTGCTTTGACTCCATCAATCTATTGATATTAGACTGTCTTTCTCCTGTGTGATTCGTCTAGGGAAGACTATTAAGTACGCCGTGGGCCAATTGCGATGGACCGTGAACAGAAAAGCGTGGTTCACCGTTCACCCGAACATTTCGGTTACATAAATTTCCAATTAAGATTACACTTACGTAAGTGCGCGGGACTCTACATAGTATCTACCACTGACCGAGAACATCCCTAAAACCGCCCCTCCGGCGCAGAAAGTCCGGCGCGCACTACGGCAAGCACGGCGGCAAAGCTGGTGGCTAACAGACGGCACGTCGGACATTAAAATACACTTGGAGGCCCGTTCTACTAAGTACAGCTGCTACCAACGACTGATATACCTCCTGCTCACCAGTGCACTACTCGCTGGGCAGGAACTCGGACATCCCTCCGACGACACATCTTAACAATCTATCCCACATTTTTCAACTAACTATCTACATGACGATACCATGGATGGTGGGTCCATGCCAGATGGGCGTGCACTGTATGTGCTGATAAGATTAGCAGTGTCACTGTGTAGCACGTACCTAGGTGATTTCAAAGTCAGCCAAAGTCCGCCACCTGGCCGTGTTTTTGCCGCCGGACTGCGGATATATCCGCCGTAGTGCCGTACTACGCGCCAAACTGACCAGGTAGGACCAGGTCCACTATTTCCTGTTCATGCCCTTAATTCTCGAAGTCTGTGTTGACTCGACTGAGTCTGCTTTAGCGTGAGTGCGAATCCTTGCATTTTGATTGCAAGAGAAGCCGGTCACTGCTGGTCACTTTCAGAGCCGTTAAAGCAGGAGCGGATCGTCTTGAACTCTGCAGCAATCTAGGTCTTGGCGGAGGAACTACTCCCAGCCTTGGTCTGTTAAAATCTATTCGAAAGGTGGCACCTATAGTTCCGATCATGGTAGCTGACATCACAGTTATCTGAGTTTTATCTCGCTACTGACAAATTTGCCTCACTAGATTATGATCAGACCTCGGACTGGTGACTTTGTGTACACCGAGGCTGAATTCGATGTGATGATAGAGGATATACGTTACTTCAGAGAGAATGACGTTCAAGGCGTTGTGTTCGGCGTTCTCACTCCTGAAGGAGATGTGGACGTGGCCCGTACTCAGCGGTAGACCTTCTTATTGTGCTCCCAAAGCCCTAGAGCGCCAACGTTCATTCTAGTCTTGTCTCAGAAGCTTTGCCTCTACAAGGTAATGTCAACTGTTTATCATTCTTTTTTCCCGGGCTCATCGATGTAGTCTGTTTTCACCGAGCATTTGACATGACTCGTGACCCGAAGAATGGCAAGCCAAAATATAGTTTTAGTTGTTGAACTTGTACTGATTGTCTACTGTAGCATGGCACCAGTTGTCCCAAATCGATGGACTAACCCGCATCCTGACGAGGTAAGCGTTACGGTAGTTGATTTCAAGTTGATGTCTGACACTTCTTCCAAGCGGTCAGGGCACGACCGCCACCTCGGCTAATTCTCTCGATGTTTTAAAGGATCTACTCGACCTTGCAAAATATCAGGATACACGCATCGAAATACTTCCAGGATCTGGCATTAATTCATTCACCGTCGGCGCTTTATGCCAGGCGTTGCTGCCCCATGGGCTACATGAAGTGCATATGAGTGGTGGACATTGGACCGATGGAGCCTCGATTTGGCGTCGAGACGGAATGGGCATGGGCGTCGGCGGAGCCAGTGAATGGGGAGTTTGGCGGACAAACACAAGCGCAATCCGTGCAGTCAAAGATGCCATCGATTCCTTTAAAGTATGATAATTAGGTTTATTGAACGGAAATTTTGAACTTTCTCATCTACATACTCATTCGAGCTGATGCAGGGATCAGCCAGGATCAGTCAGTCGCTTCTCCGCGGGATCCGCCTGGCTTCAGGTGTGCTACTGCGATGCATCCCGTTCATGATCCTCTGTCGTGAACTCATGAGTGATGCGACTCGTCACGAAGACATATCATTGTCGCAACGGGGATCGATAGTGGCTTCGGGTTTGCTATTTCAGCACATCCCGCTCATCATTTGTCCTGTGACAACAATCTCCAACTCTACGAAGTAGAGCTGATCACGGGGGAAATGACTTACATGCTATGGAGGTGGAAAATAGGCCGCATCTGCGAAGGCGCGTCTGCAGTTTTCCCCTATCTCCTCCCCCACACTTGGCCTTTGAAGTCCAGACACATACAAGATACTGTGACTGGACGGAATAAACCCAAAGGGCAATCCCTGGGCGGAAATGGGCGACTGCATGCAGCAACCAAAGTGTGGGAAGCCGTCACGGAAACTGTATATTGACTGGCAGCAGCCAGTCTGCTCCGAAGTAAAAACAGAGTTAACCTACGAGACATACTTAGATGTAACTTTTCTTAGATTTCTAAGCATTATAAAGTCCTTGGATCTCGAACTCACTCCCCGAACATCATCCACTTTCTCTGACAAGATGACTGTGTCACTGCAGCCTGCTCTAACAGTAAAAATACGGTGGAGTAATGCCATATTCTTTGCGTTGCTGCAGTCATATGCGTCTACTTGAGACCTCCTACAACAGTTCCCAGAGAGACCTTGCTCTTGGCATTCCTCTACTGGCAACTTGCTGAATTTGGTAAAATCAACTCCGTGCCTCTGGCTTCATAGAAAAGACTCGCGGTTTTGCCAAGAGTTACGATTGACTGTCATAGGCTTTGATCACACCGTGCGTTCAGAGCACATGTGTATGTGCGTGTCATATTGGCTGCTCTCGGGTGCAGTGCGTTTCAAGGGTCAATCAAGGTGAGGGCTCCGTTGAAATTGACGTCGTGTTGATGATTTCAATAAACGGGCGCAGTAGTGGTGTGTAAATGAACATTGTACATCTCGAGCAATTTCGCCAGACAGGGGGAGTAACTTTACTTGGAGACCACTTGAGGATAGGCATAGACAACAATGGGAAAGAGAGATAGAGAGATTCTTGGTGGGCCTGGGCTTTCGGAGATAGGCTGAACGACCATGCGGCGAAGCGCGAGATACGAGTTGCAAGAATTAGCGACGAAAGTCCACTTCGCCGTTAGATATTAGTGTAATGATTGAACATCTAGATCGTGCACAATATTTGGTAGGGTCCCGTAGTAAGATCACTCCTTCGGTTCGCAATGCCGCCAGACAATCACGTGACTCTAAAGTCCATTTTCGTCTTCGTTGAGCGTCCGAGACTATACAAGCTGAAGTTCGCCGTTATTTCCTTCGGTATTCCGGTTTTTTGGGCCAGAACCGACGACCACGACTGTATGACGATGATGAAGAGAGATATTGGACAATTGTCGAATTATGATGACGCGGACGGCTCTCGAACAAAGCGACAAAAGCAAGTTGGAGCATCATCTGGCCAAGCCGCCACAGGAACCGCGACAAATGGAGACATTCAGATGGACACTGGAGAAGGTAGCAGTTCTGGTGTAGCTGGTTTGAAAGAGCAGGGAACAAAGTTGTGGCAGATGTTGAAAGACGTGGTCAATAAAGAGTGAGTAACAAACCCAACTTGAGCTCAAATCACAGCCGCCTCAAGCCATTTTCCTTTCTGATCTCGCTAACATTTCTTCCGTGTATCACACAGAGGTTACATATGCTCTCCAGCGTTCATGCGCTTGCCCTCGAAGCGCCATTATCCTGATTATTATGTCTACATTCAACAACCAATTTGCTTGGACGATATCAAGCAGAAAATAGATGACGGCTTATACAACTCTCTCGATGATATCAGACAAGATTTCGACCTCTGTTTCTCAAACGCCAAAAAGTACAATCAGAAGAACAGTCCAATCTGGCTCGACGCCAAATTCATGCTGGTGAGTGCCCTTTGTCCTATGTTCACACCACGTTCAACCTTGGGCAGAAATTTGTAAATAAGGAGTATACGAAGATGACAGGAAAGAAAGTCAAGAAAAATAGCGACGGAGACGATGACGAGGACAAGCCTGCTGATGGTGGAGACAGCGAGAAGAAGAACAAACAGCCCAACTTGACTCGACTCTTGAAAGCTAGATTGCAGAAGGTTGTCGATAAAGCTGACGAAGAAACGTGAGTTCACCTTCCTTCGTCTACAACTTACTTTTAATTCAAGTGACAGACATCGTGTGCTCTCTAACGTTTTCATGGAGATGCCGTCGAAGAAGGACTATCCAATGTATTACACACAAATCAAACGTCCCATGTGCATAGAGACCATTTTTGTAAGTCGCACATACTTTGACTCTGGAATACGTGTTCACGACGTCACTAGAAACACCTGAAGCGCAAGGAATATCAAACCTCTCTAGACTTCGCAAATGATGTCGAGCTTGTGTTCTCTAACGCTCTCGAGTTTAATCAAGACCACAGCCAAATCTGGGAAGATGCGATCATTCTTCGAGTGAGTGTCACAAACCCCGAGTAGTATTCTTATTCATACGCCAACAGGATTACTTCCGTCAACTCATGTCCGACATGCCAGAGCCACACGCGCTACCACAGTACGCGAAGCCTCCAGCAAAGATCAAATTAAAAGTTCCGGGCACGGGGGCTGCGACTGCCGGACCCTCTACGACTGTTGCTTCTTCGTCAACCAAACCACAAGAGAAAGAGGGCACTACTGGAGGATCATTAACGTTACGCCTTCCTGCAAGTGGCGGAAATGCCAAGAGTTCAGCCCAATCCTCGATCAATCAACTGCCACCTGGAGCTGGAGTACCTATTCCAACGACTAAACCTGTGCAAGGCTCAAAACCTATCGCTGCACCTGTACCTAAACCCGCACCCGCACCCCAACCGTCTGTCGCTGTAGCTCCTCCTGCTCAAGTCCCTACTCCTTTACCGACACCAGCAGTGCAAGTGGCGCAAACGAAAGCTGCACCATCGCCACAAGTCTCCACACAGCCATTGCAGTATCAGCCAACGGCAACTAAGCCCCAATACTATCCCAATGCCACCTATCATCAATACACTCACCCGGCTCCGACTCCTCCGACACCCGCAATGCCATCTTCCGCAGTACGAACACAGCCAGCGCCTCAGGTTCAGACGTCTCAATCGGTTTCAAGATCACCTGCACCTGTGTTGATTGGACATCGAGCGCTCAAGGGCGTTTTCTTGATAACCAAGCCTCGCGGCAGACCCTTCTGGCTTGATCATCGTGATGGAGTCAAATCCTGGGCGATACGACTTGGCCAGGGTGAGAAATCGATCTCTGTTGCAGAGATTAGATTCTTTGGAGATGATGATGAAACCGGGGATGAGGAAGGCGATGGAAACGATGAACAGCCAGACGATGAGGAAGAGGAGGAAGAGCCGAGCCCCAGGAAACGTGGTCGTGGCCGCCCGCCCAAGAATCCGAAAGCAAAAGCCAAGGCGTCTGCACTAGCGAAGAAAGCCGAACAGAAGAAAGCTCAGAACGCGTCTACGCCTCAACAGGAGAGCATATTGATCAACCTTAATGGTATCGCTATGAACGAAAAACTTGAGGATGGCGTGTGGAATATGGACCTTCAAGTTGGTTCAAATGTTTTGGAAGTTGGTGAGAAGAATGGATACGTGTGGAAAGTGTACTTGGACAGAGTTTCCATCATATAGCGGTTGTACTTGTCGGCCCCCATTCTTAGATTCCAGCCCTTATCTACCCGTATTCTCTATTAATCGTGCTTGTAATACAATACGCAGTCCGTTTCCAAAGAGTCTCTAGTGATCGATAAAAGTTTAACGCTGATCATCGTAATGCAAGAGGAACGTCATCGTCCGACACTGTCCTAACATTCCCGACCTCCCCAGATGATTCATCGATATTCTCCCCAAACTCATCCTCCTCAAAATCGTCGTCACTAGTCTCTAGACTGTGCTCAGGTTCATACACTTGGTATCGGCCAGCCTCATTAATCCGGTCCTGCACGTATTCTTGTAACATCTGCTCCCGATTTACGGGGTGCACCTCGTACCCCTCCGAGCCCCGACGCACCCTGATAGCTCCGGAGTATCCCTCTTCTGAGTAATCTGAATCATTGCCAGGGGAATACGGTCGTCCAGGATGGGTATCAACTTCAGGAACCTCGTAATCTAGATGGTAAGGTGGTAAAACAGAGACAGGATCTTGTGTGGATTTATGCCGGTTACCATTGACACCACGTAGTTGACTATTTGATGGACGTAGATTGGGATTAACATCCCCATTCTCGTATGTCCATGGACTGTCAGGGAGCTTGAAGGGTAGTTGGTTAGCCAAAGCCGGATCTCGAGGAGGCCAGTTATGATGTTCTATATCAATAGATCAGTCAGTGAGGCGCTACATCAAGCAGAATGACGCAGCTGCAATGAGTGTACTGACACGACAGAACGAGGACGTAAGAGGACAATGACAGCTACCAGATGCAGCAGTCATGGTTCCAAATCGTTCACTCTCCTTCGGCGCCCCTGTGCTGCAGCTTGTTCATTCCACTCACCATCAGCAACTGAAAGCTGGTATCTCAGTCCAGTTCCAGGAGGGACGGTTGGACAACACCACAAAAGTGGATTGTTTCCGAGAATTGAGGCAATATTACGCCTCACGCCGAGGTTCTGCGTTACATCAGTAATATGTTTATCGACATGAATCAAATACTTGCATATGGGAACTTGACCTGTAGGCGATACAATTAGTTAATTTTCTATAGCTTACTTAGAGGAAAGGTTTACCTCTTCAATTTTACCATGTCTTCGTAGCATTGCAGCTTTATCTTTCTCCCAGCCTTCAATAGTCGTGGTATTGCCCATCAGACTATGGAAATGATAAAGACTGTATAGTCACGGTGAGCAAACTGTGATTCTGCATGCAAAGTAGTAAGCAATACCTGAAACCTCCAACTACGAGGATCACGGGGACGGCGAAAACGTAGTTTAATATGATAAAGATGAGTTCGGCACCCGTTGGCTGGTCCTGAGTTGCTCCATGTTCAGTTACAGGTTCAATACTTCGAGAAACAACTCACATGGTACCATCTCCCAGATGTGGCCATGACTCGGTATGAGACCATAGCGAGGTGATACGAGCAAGTAACGTCCACGTAAAATAGAAAACGAATAAAGTGTCCATAATTGAAATAACCGATGCAGTTGTTTGTCCAAGGACAATGGTGGTCTGTGGTAGTCAGAATGTGAAGAAAACGGTACCCGAAAGTGCTTACCCATTCTCAGTACGCATCTACTTAGCGGTCAGCATTGCAATAATTCACTGACAGCTCCTACTTACCTGCTGCATTGTTTGCAATGATGGGACCTTGGAGGCTTAAACTTTTGGCAGGTACGGCAAAAACGAGGGGAGCCTGTCAGTCTTTTAACCTCGTACCCTTCGCTTGATTGCGTGTCCGGTTTCTAGAGAACAGTGTCATCAATCAGAATGACTGCGGCTGAGCCTTCGGCGTACCCATCCATCCGGAACCTCCCCAGGGTCAGTAACTATGCATAGGTAGTAGTTCCATAGTAGTGATATAGCAAGAACACTATTGGAGCGTAAATTTCAAAGTATATCCAGACTGATGAAGCTCACTTGAATGGGAAGAGAAGAGTTATGAGCTCTACGGACAGCTCACGCCCATACCATGGCCATATAATGTAGACCTGGCAAGTTAAGACGGGAAAAAGGATAAGAAACAGCACGAAGCCGATGGCAATGCGCCCCAATATGGGGTGCATATCTTGGTGTGAGGTCGAACGAGATGGGTAAGACGAAGTATGGACTTTCCAGTTTCCACCGTGACTGTGGGTCAGGCCTTCAGGTTCCGAGAAAGGAAATTTACCTGCTCAGGTTCACTGACAATTCACTGCTTTTGCTCTTTCATCATGCGGCATTCAAGGGCTCTTGCTAGGCTCTGCAATCCAGGACGCTGCTACAAGCAGGGAGCTCATTCATACTCCACGAACAGTCCATTTGCATCTTTTATTTCAGATGTAAAAATTCCAGAGTCAGTAGCAGCTTCTGTAGAAGAAGCGCGTCGGAGTGCCCCGAGACTTAGTTCACTGGGAGACATAGAAATTCGTGCGTAACCTTTACTCAGTCCGCAATACCTGACGCTGAACGGTGTTTTTAGCCTCGATCGTTCCATCATCCACCACTTCTCTGTTTGCTGCACGGGCTGCTCAGAGGCAGAAGAGGCAGTTGACTGAAGCTGCGCCCAAAAAGGTCGAGGCTAAAGTTGTAAACACACCGAAACCAACTTCGCTGCTATCTAGAAGGTCTCAAAGAATCCCGAAAGACGAGGAGAGACGTCCCAATGATGGACCCTCGAACCCGCAAACTGCCCCTGCTCACCCTCGTTCGAGACGGCCCCTTCCTGCGGAGACTACTAGGTCAGCACCAGCAGAAATGCGCACAGACCGGCGAAGGGAAAGTCCAAGGGTTCCCAAGCCAAGCCGTGTTGTTAAGCCTACACCTCTCAAGGATCTCAATGAAACCGACACACCCGCTCCGCCAGCATTGCATGTTAGTTTCAACAACACTGACTTGTCGGAGCTGTTCAGTTCACCGGCCCCCATTCCCTATATCGCTCAGCCATCAATTGCCCAGTCACGCATTGACTCTCGGGTGCAACTCTTGAAAGAACGTGCCGGCGATTACTCGCGATATCTTCCGGGAAACATTAAATCCACAACACAGACGCCAGGGTCAATAGATTACGCGAAGTTGATTTTGGCTCGTAGGAGAGAAGTTGGATTAAGGCCGAGGCGCGCCGCCGTGGAGCTCATGCATCAAGCAGGACTTAGTCCCACGTCAGGTATGCGAGACTTCACTATGTTCAAGGCAAAATCTCAACAAGAACTTTGCAGTCCCTGCAATTTCATCGTAACCATGATCAGCTTCATTCATACTGAAATTTGTTCCATCGAAGCCAGAAAAATATGACCGCTACTAAATACATGCCCGGGGACAAAATTAGCCATAAGTTACACCAGAAACAGTCGAAGTATATATATATCATGAAAGTGCATGAGGGCATGATTAAGGATCAGACGGGCACAACACCATTCATCCCCGGCCGCTCCTCCGCAATAATTACAGGTTCTGGTGTGCGACCCGCCCAATCGAACACATGATACCGGAGATGGGGAGGGACTATCCATTCAGGAAGTTCGAAGTCCCTAAGTTCCTCAATCTCTTGTGGTACTTTTGCGCCAAACGCAGTTACATGCCTATGCGTTTTACGAGCTGTTGGCGCAGATGAGGCGCGGATAGCAGCCTGCATGAGAACGCATGGTTCTGGCTTTGGCGCCAGTGCGTGGTGCGAAGGGCGTGGCGCATGATGTTCTGGAGTAGAGTGTGGAGAGTATGCCTCATCGAGATGTGACGGTCTTGCGCGTTTGTGCGGGCGTTCGGATTCGACGGACTCTGTATCAGAAGAGGCTCTAGATATTGGTTTTGCTGGAGACATTCTAGATACCGATTTGGACTTGGATGGTGAAGAAGATAATAAATAAGCTGTGGGCTTGGGTGCTGGGGTGCTGGATACTGATGGGGAAAAGCTTGACTGTTTTGGCATCTTTATTTTCAAGACAAGTGAAGTGTTGACTTTGGCAGGTGAAATGGCGGCGGAAGCTCGCCCATTGACGATCGACTCCTCTTGCGGGCGGATGTCGGAGGAAGGAGGGATATTGACGCTACTCTGCCTGCTCGCTTTCTTCTGATCGAAATAGTTCTTCTTGTCTGACGGTAACAGGGTGCGATACCGATCCTCCAGGATAGAAGCTACCTCAAGCATCTCCTGCCGTCGCCTCTCCCCCTCGTTACACACGGCTGTGCCGTCAGCGTGAATTTCCGAACAACTCGAGTGTTGGCCGTCCTCGATCTGAACTACACCAGATGGTAGGGGGAAAGATGCCGCAGGTAATCCGAGGAATGCACTTCCGTCCATCGCCCTCAGCTGTTCTATCCTCTCCTTGAGCTTGTACTGCTCATGCTTCAGCTTCTCCTTTTCACGGAGACGCTGACGTTTTTCAAACGTCTCGTACTTCCGATGGCGTTTTTCATATACAGCATCAGAGGTATCTGCCGACTCGGGGAGCTGAATAGAAATAACTTGTGGTATGAGCTTATGCCAAAGTTTGGGACTCGTGTTTTCAACGCACCTCCGCGGAAATTCTTGGTCTGAATCTACCCCCAACGCTAGCATCTTCTGTCAAAGTAGTGAATTCAGGTGTTTGAATGATCTGTTGTTCTCGATAAGCTTGAATAACATCTGGTCTGTCGAAATAGCGTTGATTTGCATGACTATTGAGTCCGAAGTCAGTCGAGGATGAGGGTTGGGGTACGAGGGCAGAATTTGTGGTCAACAGGAACTGCGTATTTGCGGGAATGAGCGGTTCATTTTCAACTGCCAAAAGGATGTTAGTGTATATGAACTGGGTAGAACAAAAAGTGCAACGAACATCTTCGTCTCTGCGCGTCCAATATCATGAGGTCAACATCACAGCTTCCTATTCCAGGACCACCACGACGTGAGCGGGAGGGAAGGACACGTTTCTGCCGAGACTTTAGAGTTGAATATTCGGATGAATCTGCCATAGGAAGTCCTAGCTCCTAGCTGTACTGGTCGCCAGTTCGAGAGTAGCAACAGCAGTGCACTCAGGCTAGGTTATCGCTAGTCTCAGACTTCTAGACTTCTGCCTGTACCAAATGTTGCAGGTCTCCAGCTCCCAGAGTTTACGAGAGAAGTCCGTGAAGCGATCGAGAAGAAACGGACATGTACTAACATGGACCGAGAACTTGAGAAACAAAACTTTCTTTCGTTGACCAAGCGAAGTTCATGCCATCAATTTTACAATCCACACTTTATGTTTTTATGCAAATCTCGCGTTAACTATCGTCTTCAGCTTAATGTCCATAGACTATGCGTCTCGTGGAACTTGAGAATTTTCTCGAAACCTCCAGCCATCTTCGGTTAGTGCTGCAACGGCAGCATCGGCCTTTTCTTTGGGTACCAGAACATAATCGGTATTCCTATGAAGGGATAAGCATCACACAGGTGGATCATATCTGCTACGAGCGCTAACCATGTCGAAACTGCGAACACCGGAACATTAGCATCTCTCAGCGGCGTCGTGAAATTACAGATTACGCCAGTCAACCCTGTTAGCAAGCGAAGATTAGATCGTCTCTCCGTCGCTAACAATGTAGAGAAGACACCAAAATTCATGGGTCCTGCTATCTTGATGCATTTCCATTCGCCATCGTCGTCAACAGCTTCACCAACCACGGAAATCTCTTCTCCTGTTCTGGTGATCGAGAAGACCCCTTGAGTGTGTTGAGCAGCATTCAGCCCGCTCGTAATTGCAGCTGGAACGCCTGCATCTACTGGGAACTGCTTAACGAAGAAAGTCTGAGCCAGTAGCTCAAGTTCCAGACTCGGGTGGTTGAAGGGTGGAGGCATGTTATTACTAGATAGTCTATCGACACAATGGAAGTCCGAACGATCGAGAAGCCATGTACAATTATAGATTTTGCTTGGTACATCACAGCGCACTTCTCTATTTTGCCCGTCGGTATTATCCTTCTTTGGGAAGGTACTGGATACCACTCGAGGGGCAAGAAGAATCCTTAGGGTTGTCTAGAAGCCGCACGTTAACGGTCAGTCTGCCGTTGATACATGCAACGCACCTATCGGGACGAACTCGCCATCAATGACAGAGCCCTTGAGATTAAAGTACCAGCTGATCGAGCTGAGTGTGCCCGATCGAGAGCAGCTCAAAGCTGGAATGTACTGGAAAATAAACGTTACGATGATGTATTTTTGAGCAAGCTATGAAACCTACTCCAGAGGCATCTTGGAGAGCCGACAACAAGGACGAAAGCGAATAAGTCTGGTCATATGACGGAGTGATGCCTGCCTGAGCAAGCCAGTCATACGTGGGGAGGGTCTTGAAGACCCTCACCACAGTCTCAAAGAATGCCACAGCCTTGTATAATAATAGCGCTCAGGGCAAATACTTCCATACATTACGCTTACTTACCTCGGCGCCCGTAGGGCTGCTGCTGGGAAGGCAATCAACATCCAGTGTGCTAAACAAGGTTAAAATGGATATGCATCAAGATTCCGGAGTCTGTACCTATAGCATGTGCCGTGTGTAGCCCACTCGTGCTATAATGCTTGACAATAAGCTTTCGAACGAAACGAAAGCTCCGAGTTTCACGTACCTCCCAGAATTTCTCATTAGTTCCATCATCGTTGAGCCAATACTGTTGCATGAAATCCAATGTAGACGATGCACCCTGGGATTCGAGTAGCTGTGGGAAATCAGCTGGGGGTGCCTTGATATCGAAGAGAACGGCTGACCCCGGCGATATCCGTGTAATCACGAGAGGGGTCGCACTTCTCAATGTAAGTGCCGTCGCAGCTACGATATATTCAAACGATTTGCCTTAGTAGTCCAGCTACTGTGACTTACTTATCAGGCCACAGACCTAGTAAATGTCTTGCGTCAGAACAAACTTAAAACGCCATAAATTACACACCATGAATGGTCCAACTGTCCGCAGGACTACCAGCAACATCTGTGTCCCAAACCTAAAAAAATTATCTCTGCCTCCACATGTTAAACAAGGCAAACTGGACGAACTTGCGTCTGCAAAATCAGGCCCTGGAGCTAGTTAGGGCAATTGATCACTGACTGATACCAGGACAGGGACGCACTCCAGGAGTCTCAAAACAGCAGGTATTTGCGGCGGGGGGCGTGTTCGCATCCTGGCACGATATGGGACCAGAAGTTCCGCATCCTGAGCTACCGAGGTTCTGGGAAAAAAAGTTCATCGGGTTAACGTAGGACACCCCGAGGAGGGACGACATGACTAGAGATGAGACGGACATTTCAGACAAGGAGGTAGAAGACTGCAGCTGCCTGTATATTTATATGCCATGGAGGGAAGGTCCGGGAGCAAGGTTGACGTTGACCGGTGACAAGCCTGTGTATTTGCACATGTGCCACGAGGGGGAGCAAGTTTAACGTTGACCGGTGCCAGTAGACCTGTATATTGATATACCACGAAGGGAAGATTCGGGAGCAAGGTAACGTTGACCGGTGCCAGGCCTGTCATGTGTTTACAATTTATAAAGTTGACCGTTTAAGCGGATCGCGAGCTTGCGAATGTTGATGCAGGAAACAATATGGCCCTTGTAAGGAGTCGCCCGCCACACGTGTGCTTCTCTTCTGAGGTTGAAGCACACGTGCGAGCTCACCCCAGTCACAACGACTCGATTTGAAAATCGCCTCAATCCCTTCTTCGTTACGCCCATCCCAATTTACGTGTCGCTCCCCCATTTGTTTGTAAGTTTATTGGTGCCATGTGCTAGAATAGCGACTTGTGGCGCATTTTGGAAGATCACATTGTTGCACTGCGAGCTAGAAGGAAGTACGAAAAAAGTACGCACATGGCTTAAGCCAAGGATGGAAAAGCTCGGCAGGCGACTTGCGTTATTCGCTGCCGGCATCGTGGTGTTTTACATTAGGACAACTCTGGGCAGGCATGATTTCGGTGAGAGTACCGTCAAATGTATGCGATTGAAGAAACCTGTCGAACAGGAATGGATGAACTTGAACCTACTAGATCGGGGTGTACGCATCGCTCTCCGCATTTTCATATTCCTGTCCATGCACCAACCACTGATTCGTCCAGGGTTGAGCAGGCTGTTGTGCGTGATAAGAGTTGAGCCGAGCCTCTTGGTTCCCAAACCATGCAGGAGGGCCATTAAATCCAAATGCGGACGCGAATCGAGGATTAATGTGCGGCTGTACGGATTGTTGTTGTTGCTGCTGCTGTCCAAATGGATGACTTTGAAAACCGCCTTGCTGATAACCCCACGTTGGTGGAGGTGAGAAAGGCTGTGAAGAATAGCCGGGGATTCCAACTGGTTGATTTGTTCCGCGTTCTATCTCGTCAGATGTGGGCGATAGAGGAATCGAGGGACTTGTTTTGTACGGTTCCATTGAAGGAGCCGTTGGGTTTTGTTGAGACCATCTAGATTCTCCCCACGAACGTCGTCCACGATCTGGGCGCCCGCGGCCACGACCCCTTCCACCATCACGAGCCCCACCACCTCTATCGTGACCTTTACCACGCCCCCGACCCCGTCCTCTGCTGCCTCCAAAGTCTCTCTCGGGTTCCCTACCAGACAGACGAGCCTCAATGGAAGAACCGTCCAAGTGTTCTTCATACTTCACAGTGTCCACTTTGACCTCTTCAGCATACGGGTCGTCGTATGGGATGGGTGCTGGACGCGACGGCCCGGCAACCCGGTACCCGTCGTCATATGGGCCATGGGCGTCATATGGGTTTGCCCCGTAGAAAATTTTATCAATATCATCATTGTAATGAGACTGCGATGGCACAGGAGTTGTTTGTCGAGACGATGACACAGACATGCCACGTCTGCCAAGAAGGAATGAGAATGAGAATATTTTTGAGTGCATACACATACTTTTTCTTCCGTGCCTGCTTGAACGCGGCTTCTTGTTCGTCATCAGAAAACTCCATTTCATCTTCACCGGGCTCCTCATCATGAATGTTACTTGCGTCGCTGCCGCGAAGCTTTTTGAGGTATGCCATGAAGACGAAATTACTTCGGTGTGGTATGTGGTAAACTTCGCGAGCGACGCGAATCTTCTCAGTATCCAACGGGTAGCTCTGGTTGAATTTTATTTGATACAAGGGCTGGGAAGTGGGCCCGAACGTTTCATACACCTGCATAAGGTCAGAAGAGGTATCCTGAGAATACAAAATACGCACATGGCCGAGAACTTGTCGATCGTCGAGTACAAGTAATGTCTCGACATCGAGTGCCTTTTCAGACGCAGCTCTGGAGGAGTCAGCAGGAAGGCCTTTCACAATTACTACGTTCCCAATAATGTTCATCACCTCGCCAACTTTTTCCAATACTTCTTCGAGTCCGACTTCTGATATAGAAGGGACAACGATGTCTGTATCGACAATCTCATTTTTGGTCTGTACATATGATGCAACAGCTGTAGCGCCTGACTCCTCGTCATCGTCCACATCAATTTGTGGTTTTCGAGGGTTCAGCGCATTTTTATCTTCTGCTTTATCAGCAGTTTCATCCTCGTCTGACTCGGAATCCGAGTCCGAGGATTCAGAGTCTGAGCTTGAGTCTGACTCCGGTGATGCTGGCCTGGCAACAGTCTCAAGATATTAGCTGACCGATAGCGTTTGGAGACTCACAAAACAGGTGTAGGATTAGCAGATTCCTCCTCTGGAACCATTAAATCGGCTTCAACCTCGTCCTCACTGTCAATCTCGCTAGACGAGCTTGCGATTGAATCGTCGCTTGAGTCTGTAGACTTGTGGACATCCTTCCAAACATCCGCTTTTGGTGGGGGGATGACTCCGACAATTTCTTGAATAAGGAGTATATCCTGGGGGACCGACTCGGGGACTTTGAACTGAAAATCCATGACTGACGGCGACAGGAAAATGGATAGCAAAGCGGTATGACCCAAAACAAGAAATTTGGGCATCACGTGAGCGTGCCTAGTCGCGCGTCGCACAAAATTTTGTATGGAACCCTTCTCGTTCCATATCCCTTCACGATGATAGCCCAATTTGTTCGTTCATCGAAACCGTTTCACGCATCGAGGCTCTCGCGTGTTGGCCAGTCGTGTTATTCTACAACTCCATCCAAGCCCTCTCTGCAGCATGTTGCGCAGCTCCGCAAACTGACGGAGGTCTCAATCTCAAAAGCACGAGAAGCCCTCAGTCAAACTAATAACGACATACAACAAGCCCTCGAATGGGTGAAAAATGATCTCGCAGCGTCGGGCATAAAAAAGGCCGCGAACGTCCAGTCTCGGGAGACTCGGGAAGGGCTTGTTAGTGTCTGCATGCTCTCTGGAGGTAGCAGGGGGAAAACATCCTTGGGGGGCGGCGGTATACGGGCAGCCATGATTGAATTGAACTGCGAAACAGATTTTGTTGGAAGAAATGTCTTATTCGGTCAATTAGCGGCGGATATAGCTCATACCGCCGCATTTATCACGGAACCAACTGACTCTTCGACTATCATCAGATCTTGTTCACTGGACGTTCTGAACGATGCCCCACTATTATCTCAAAACAATCCCTCATCTCATTCGCCCTCTACAGTGTCAAGCTCTATTAGAGACCTCATTGCCAAAGTAGGCGAGAAGGTTTCCCTGAAGAGAGCTGTGACGGTCGTGCAAAACCCGTTATCGGGACAGTCTCCCAATCTTGGTCTCCGTCTCGCATCCTACCTGCACGGATCTGTGGGCTCCGCCCCTCATGGTCGCATCGGGTCTCTAGCTGTGCTCGCTCTTCAATCTCCAGAGCTTGCACGCCGCCTTGAGAGCGAAACCTTTGTCAAAGATCTAGAGCGACTTGAACGTGCGCTTGCACGACAAATCACTGGATTTGACACTCGCTCGATCAAATCATCGGACGGCGATGAGACGGCACTATACAACCAACCGTTCATGATGCTTGGAGGAGAGAGTGCAAATAAACCAGTACGGATGGCCATAGAGAACTGGAGTAAACAACAAGGTCTTGTCCGGGATGATGAAGAAGGAGGTATTGAAGTCCTGGAGTTTGCCAAATGGAGTGTAGGCGATATCGTTGGATAGATCCAGTATCATTATTATCTTGCTCAGACGTATACATAGACTACTTGAGAGTGACGTCGTATGTGTACTTGGTTAATTATATTTTGGGCTCTATCACATGACTCCATAGCTCAGTGGTAGAGCATACGATTGCAGATCGTGCGGTCCCGTGTTCGAACCACGGTGGGGTCTATTTTTTGTTTACCGACTTTACGTAATTATACTCCCGGAGTTCACAATATTCGGTGTTCGGAGTTTTTCGACCTTGGACTTTACTCACCATGCGGAAGGCAACAACGTCGCTCGTCCGTCGCAGCCAGCGGCAATTTTCTCAAACAGTACACCCTCCATTGCAGATCACTACTCTGCCCAACAAGATCAGAGTTGCTACAGAGTCGACTCCCGGTCATTTTTCATCCGTTGGACTCTACGTAGATGCAGGGTCCAGGTATGAAGACTCATCAACCTCAGGCATTAGCCATTTTCTGGACAGGATGGCCTTCAAGGTGCGTAGCTTAGGCAGTATCTGTGCCATTATTTATAGCTCCATTGCTCAGACTACCAGCTCTCGCTCCACGGAAGACATGGCGACCGCAATGGACAAGCTAGGTGGCCAAATCATGTGCTCTTCGTCACGCGAATCCATCATGTACCAATCGTCCAACTTCGACCAAGCCACTCCCCTCGCGCTTTCGCTTATATCAGACACCATCTTGAATTCTACCTTTCTACCCGATGAACTTGACGCCCAGAGAGATGCCGCTCGTTACGAGATCCGAGAAATTAGTCAGAAGCCTGAGATGATTCTACCAGAGGTCTTGCATGAGGTTGCATACGGTAGGAAAACACTTGGAAATCCCCTCCTATGCCCAGAAGAGCGAATAGACGCGATTACCGGAGACCTACTTCGGGATTGCATTACAAACTGGTACCGCCCGGAAAGGATGGTGATTGCTGGTGCTGGGATGCATCACGAACGGCTAGTAGAGCTAGCCGATAAATACTTCTCATCTCTCAAATCTGCGCCAACACCGTCACTTTCGTCACTTCAGCCGTCAACTACTCAAAATCTTCCCCCCCACTTACTGCCCTCTTCCTCACCCTCACTCTACAAGTCATTAACTCGTGCTGCATCAACTTATCTATACCCTACGTCCCTTTCTACCGAGCCACCGCTTCCTCCACTGAATCCTCACTCTAATTACGTTGGTGGTATCCATCACATCCCGAGCGAGAC